AATTCCTCGATGCGTTTGTCTTAGTTCCGTCAGTGGCGTCGAATTGCCTGCGTACGATGCCCGCGAAATGCTTGAAAGCAAATGGCAGGGCAGCCTTGAAATGAGAGGCACTTCGAAGGGAGTGGCAGCACAGCTCTCACTAGTAGTGGCATGCGTCATTCGCGTTCACACAATTAAGGCCGGACCGCCTGCAAGCGATTTATCGACCGACGAGACGAGCGACGGGGACAGCGACGAAGATTTCTCACTGTCGTTCGTAACGCCGCTCGGTTTTTGAATTCCAGAAAACGTCGCTCATCGCCTTGATCGCTTGCCCCGATCGCTTTCATGCGGTTTGCCTTGTAGCGCGGCTAACCGAGTGATAGCGAAAAGGTTTACCATCGCTGGTCTCGTTGCTCGCTTTATTTGGTTGTCGGCGCTTGCGAAACTCTGAAGCGTGAATTTTATCGAGGGCGTTATCCTTACTGACTGTCAGACTGATTAGAGAAGTTCGGATTCCTGTGAAATACGACCATACAATTTCTCCCTTTGCTTACGAACTGAGGGGGGAAGCTGAGGAGGAAGGAGTTGGAAAATGCGTTCATGGTCTCTTCATGGAAGTTGTTCGGAACACCTTGTTTTTTGTGTTCTATTTTTTTTAACTACTCCATGCGCGTCTTTGTTTTTCGCCCAACCTTCAAAATAAAGTACTGCCACGGGGCTAGCAAATAAGCACAACATATAAAGCATTTTGTATAAAAAGTTAGTGCCCCAGTCAAAAAAGAACGCTTTATACTCTTCGCAAGCAACATGATCAATACAAACCCTACCTTTAAAGGCGCCCATCACGCAATATTTAGAGCAGTGTTTGAGAACGAAAATCGAACTTGAATCCAAACACCCGCACTGGAAGCGAACCGGGTGCAAACATGAGCGGTAGTATGAAATGGGTACCTCTAGCAGTCAAAGGTTCAGCGAAACACACCACCTAGCTAGGTGGTACCAAGCCGCCACCCGATTTGTAGAGCTCAATGTCTTGTCCACCGATCCACAAGATAAAGCTCCTTGATACTCTAACCAAGTCCCCCCCCCCCCCCCCCCCCTTCCACTTTCGGTGGACCTTGGCCTCTGGGTGCATTGCCGCAATCTGACTGCTCGCTCAGTGACAGCTCGGTTCCGGGACTTTCTGTGCAAAAGCTCGAGGGTCATCCAATGCGCAAAGCACGTGTGTCCCCAACAGCCCCTGCAGGTGCAGACTGTCAGAGACTGTTTGCTCAGAAGATCACAAATTCGGATATGTATATTTTTTGTACTGCTAAATCTTGCCTCAAATTTTAATTAAAATTCGTGAATGCAGAATGGGACTCAGTTTGCTAAATGTTGTGCCTCTGGTATCTTTCTGTCCCTAGTGTGCTCAAGCTGAAATTTGCGATCCCGGTACTGCTTGCAGATTAAATCCGACTTGCTCAAATTGTATACTGTGTTTCGCAGTTTGATCCGTGTTTGCATGCAATCTGGGTCTAGTGCTCCGGGTACGATTCCCAGTACGAACACAGCTTGTGCAAACCGTTTCTTTTCTGTCCTGAAATATTTCCCGGTATAGACCCAGACTGTTGAACCGTTTTTCGCAAAATCCGGTACGTTTAGTGGTTTATGCAAACCGTTTCTTTTCTGTCCTGGTATATTTCCCTAAATATAACACCAAACTGCTAAATCTTTTTTTTTTTTTTGAAAATCTGGTACGCTTCCCGGTTTGTGGAAGCCGTTTCTTTCCTGCCCTGGTATATTTCCCGGTATAAACCCAAACTCTTAAGCCATTCATTTTTTCTTTTTTTTTTTATCTGGTACAATTTTTGGTTTATGCACACCGTTTCTTTCCTTTCCTGGTATATTTCCCGGTATAGACCGGTACAAACGGTGTGAAACCGTTTATTTTTTTTAAAATCCAGTATGTTTCCTGCTTTATGCAAACCGTTTTTAAGATTCCAGGTTGGTTTCTCATACTGTAAACATATTATTTGTAGGGTTGTCTTCGCTTCCAGCCATATATTTCTTGCAAGAGTAAAGCTATACGCACGAGCTCGTGCACCTTGACCACAAATTGCTATACGCACGACGCAGAGGGTTCATGCTATTTAGGTCACCTTTTCCGACGGCGCGTGTATCACTGGAGAGAATCTTAACCCAACCCGCCGCCTGCGTTCACACCGCTTCGCGGCGACAGTGTGTGGTTGCTAATTATAAAACCATTAGCCCACTCGGTCCCCCGTACACGCCGCTTCGCGGTGTCCAGCCGGCAATCCAAGCCATGCCCCCCTGACCCCCCTTGCATCCCCGGAAAGGGAGTTCCAACCATTTGATTCAGCGAAGTTTCGTCAACAACATTCGCTTTTTTATCAATGTTAATCTTAAAAAAAGAAATGTCGTAAATATTGCCACATGCTGGACAAAACAAAATGTTCAAGAAAAAAAAAATAGTAAGCCCACAATGTGGATCAAGCCGGGGTCCGCTGCGTATGAAGCAGACACTTTACCGCTGAGTTCCACTACTTTTGTTTTTCTTTTATTGGAGCTACGCTACCACTTTGGAAACTCGTTCTCACGATTTGTTTTATAACGAGTTTTGCGTCGTCCGTATAGCGATTTCTGGTGGAGGTGCACGAGCTCGTGCGTACACTCTAAGAAACGCTAACACTCGAAGAGCCAACCTCTGCAATCTCCGAAGTCAGCTCAACAAATGATGAGACGGAACATTTGTTTAAACCTCTATATAAACTGTGTCCTGTGGCATTAGGAAATGCAAGCATGACGCTTTGCATTGCGTAATGCCACAGCGCAGTTTATAAATTTTGGTCTAAAGGGATGTTCCGTGTCATAATTCGCTGAGCTGATTTCGTAGATCGCAGAGATTGGCTCTTCGAGTGTTTTTGGAGGTAAGTAGACGCGCAGGCATTTCTTAGAGTGTATAGCTTTACTCTTTTGAGAAATTTTATTTTGAAGCTCAGGTTTTCCAGAAGCACTGTGTTTCTTGATCTTTCTTGATGTGCGGGGCAAATGTTTTCTTGCAGTAGGTATGGCGATCTGTGCATACTTCGTAATTTTTCACGGAGTCGTGATTAGGCGCCAGTCTAGCGTTTTAAACTTTTAGCAGGTTACATCTTTGGAAACCGAATAAAAAATGGAACAAGTACCTGGGCCTTGCTTTTGGTGCTGTTATTGATATGAAGATATAAAGTATTAATTACGAGATCTAGACCAGTTTAGAGCACTAACCCAAGTAAAAAATGCATTTTTACCAAGACCTAATCGTAAAGATTTTTCAAGATGTTTTGCATTGAATAGAACTGATCTTACTTTAGTTTTTTACGATAGACCGATTCTGTCTGCTGTAAATGTAATTATAATAATTGTTTCACCTAATATAATAAATTATGTTTCAATCTCGCAAGTTACAGTGCTTCTGTTTTATTGGAGTTTTATTTATTTATTATTTATTTTATTTATTTATACATACTGCAGCCCCACTGGGGCTATGGCAGGAGTGGGAGGTAAACACAGACGGTCCGGACATCACTGTGGACCACTGTCAACGGCACACAGAAATTCATCTGGTTGTAGTGATCGGATGTTTCCTGGTAATAAATTCCAGCGTTCAATGGTGTGAGGAAAAAAACTGTATTTAAACATATCAGTACGAGGATGAAAAGGTAAAATGTTTAATTCATGGTGGCTCCTAGTTGCAGTTGGCTCGAGAAACTTTATGTAGTTATGTAACGAGTCAAAACGTGATGAGTTAACCATGAAATACAGAGACTTTAGGCGCTCGATACCACGACGCTCAGAAAGAAATCTTAGACCTAACACGGAAAGATTAGAAGAAGGAGAAAAGTTTCTGTCATACCGACGACAAATAAAACGTACCGATTTCTTTTGTACTGATTCGACCTTTTTTATATCGGACTCTTTGTAGGGAAACCAAATAATAGAACCATATTCGAGGATTGGGCGAATCAAAGTTTTATAAGTTAAAAGCTTAGTATCTTGTGGTGCCACACGTAAGGTACGCCGCAGGTATCCAAGTCTTTTAAGAGATTTGTTACATGTCGTATCAATGTGCTTAGACCAAGATAAATCAGGCGTGAAAAGGAGGCCAAGATATTTATATTCAAAAACTCTTTCTAGGCATAACCCGTCAAATGAATAATTAAACACAGAAGGTGATGAACGCCTAGAAAAGGTCATAAAAACCGTTTTACTAAAATTCAGGTTCATTTGCCAGGTTTTACACCACGTACAAAAATTCACGAAAGAATTGTTAAGAGTTATATGGTCATCTGAGGAGTTTATCACATGATATAGTACGCAGTCGTCAGCGTAAAGTCGGACCTTAGTGGAAATACAGCGTGGCAAATCATTGATATATAACAAGAAAAGTAGCGGTCCAAGAACTGACCCTTGTGGAACACCTGATGATACGTCAACTGTACTAGACTTGGATGAGTTAAAGTAGACAAACTGAGACCGTTGGGAAAGAAAACTGGATATCCAGTTCACAAGGTGATGATTATTTAGAATTAGGTTAAGCTTGTGTAGGAGTTTAGAATGAGGAACGGTGTCGAAAGCCTTTGACAAATCTATAAATATCGCATCAACTTGGTTACCGATGTCAAGAGACAGACCGATATCATGAACAAACTCTGTTAGTTGTGTCATAGTACTATAACCGCGTCGAAAACCATGTTGGAAATCGCATAAAATATTGTTAGTATCGAGAAACTCTATTACATGCCTGTAGACTATATGTTCCAATAATTTGCATGAATGTGACGTTATAGAAATTGGTCTATAGTTTGACAGTGATTGTGAGTTGCCAGATTTGTATACGGGAATAATTTTTGCGAGTTTCCATGATGAAGGAACTGTGGCCGTTGACAGTGATTTCTGAAAAATAACCGTGAGATACCGACTGCACCATTGGGAGTACCTGACAATAAATGAATTAGGAATGCCATCAGGACCAGGACTTTTTTTAGTGTCTAACTTCAAAATCAGGTTTAGTACGCCCCGAACGTTCACATCTATGTCGTCAACCGCAGACTGCGAAACATGAGTAAAAGGAGGAACTTCGAAATTATCAACTGTAAATACTGACTGAAAGTACGTATTAAACGCTGTAGCGATTGTCAGCGCGTCCATAGTAGTTACGTCGTTAATTATAAACGAGTTTGAAATTGTGCTGCCTGGTAAAATAGATTTCCAGAATTTTCGAGGGTTGCATTTTATTAAGTTTTGTAAGGTAACACGGAAATAGAAGTCCTTCGCGGAATTAGTTTTTAGTCGGAGTTCCTCCTTAGCTTGAATAAACTGAGCAGACTTTACTGGGTCAGCGCAACGTTTTCCACTCCGCAGTCTGCCGACCCGTCGCGATAAATGTAATAATTCTCTTGTTATCCAAGGTTTGACAATGTTACTTTTTTTAGTTTTGAGTGGCACAAATCGCTGGATACACGATTTAACCAAGTCTTCAAAAAATGTAATGAGTACATTCACGTCACTGGAGATACTAAGTTGTTCAAACACTTCAAAGGAATAGCTTAATGAGTCAATTATGGACACATCATCGGCACGGTTAAAATCAGGAAAAGTGTGGTAAACAAAACGTGTTTTAGGGACAGGATAAGCAACAGAAACAAAGACTGCCCTGTGATCTGATATACCGTCAACGACTTCACATTCAAAATGGTTTTCTAGAAGAGGTATACTAAGAAATACCAAATCTAAAACTGACGACTCTCTCGTGCTCTCCTGAACAATCTGTTTTAAACCAAATGACAAAGAAAAGTTCACTAACTCTCTAGATATTTGAACGTCAGGACCAGATAGCGACAAAGACGACCACTGGATGCCAGGTAAATTGAAATCACCCATTAATATTAAATTGGAAGAAGACAGGTTATGCTCGTACATAAAGTCACATAAAGCATGTAACTGATCAATGGGAGAGCCGGGAGGGCGGTAGACAACGCCAACAACTAAAGATATATTATCCACATTAAGTTTGCACCACACTGATTCAATCTGGGGAGGACCCTGTATAACTGAAAATTTAATATTGGACTTTAAAAAGAGTGCGACGCCACCGCCACGCCCGTACTTTCTATCACCTCTAACCACGCAGAAACCAGAGGGTGTAATTTCGGTGTCGTATATGCCATCATGTAACCATGTTTCAGTGACTCCAATAATGTGAGCAGAGTGGGAAGAAATTAGTGACAGAAAATCGGGGAACTTGTTTACTAAACTTCTGGCGTTAACATTCAAGACACAAAGATTTTCACTTAAACCGTCTTTTAAACCGCGGCCGAGTCAACGACCACCAGTAGATGGGGCGGTGGTAGTAGACTGGGCGGAGTAGTCGGAACACTTAACCAGAGTATTAGTTTTAACATCCCAATTATATCGCTCATTATTGATGAACACATGATCATATCGAAGGCGAACGGAGGAGCCACTGTCACGGAAAGAGGCCGTCGCATCCCATATTTTCTTTCGAACAGAACGGACATGAACAGAGAAGTCTTCCGATATACGAATATCTGAACCCTTAAGCTTGAAAGAATTTTTCAATACTTCCATTTTTTCGCGAAAATCAAGGAGTTTCATAATGACAGGACGTGAACGATCGTCGTGTTTTCGACCTATTCTATGGCACCTTTCAATACGTGGGCAGTCAATAATCAGTTTATCCGAGAATATTTTTGATACGTTAGAGAGTAATGACTCACTAGTTTCGTCTGCGCTTTCGGTGAGGCCATATAAGATTAGATTATTTCTGCGCAAGCGGTTTTCCATGTCGTCATTCCTCGCGACGAGTCTGTCTACCACACCAGACAATGACTTAAGCTCTATAAGCAGATTGTCACAAGATGTACAAGGGACACTTGGCGTGGCAGAAGGCGACTCGAGGGCAGCCACTCGTGCTTCAAGAGCGTCAAATCGGGAGTTAACCGACTGTTGGAATAATTTGATTTGAGCTATGTCCTGAGCCATCTTTTTCTGGCCAGCCAGCAATTCAGCAAACATATCCGAAACTGTGGGTTGTCTCTCGATATCTCTTCCGTCATTATCGCTCTCACCCGAATTAGCAGCCCTCGAGTCCTCTGTAACCGAAACTACGTTATCTTGTTTTGTTTTTTTGCTGTCTTTTTTTGGTGGTCCTGGATTCGTTTCAACGTCTCCACTAAGGAGAAGGCTATTGATGCAATACACCAGCTGAGAGCACAGGTCAACAAAACAACAAATACCGTGATCGTATCCATGTGGGCGAGGAAATAGCAGTAAAAACCGATTATCGGACCGTACACAATGAGCGTTCTGAAGGTAACATACCTGCGAAAGAAGCAGACAGCGGTTGAGCATACTGTCCTCGCTGCTATCGCCTCGCCCACTGAAGAGGAAAGATGCCGGTGAAGCTTTTCTATCCTCGTTAACCGACGTCACAGAACTGGGCCTTTCAATGATTGGACGATCCAGGAGGGCATCACCGACGGGGGTGACTTGCAGATTTACGGTTTGTAGGCCGTTAAGGAAACCGTGAACATCCTCAATTCCGCTGGCAAGGAAGTCCGTGGACGAACAAGACGGGTCGACCACGCAGCATGGAACAGTTGACGAAGCAGGAAGCGCCGGCAGTAGCTGGTATCCGTGCGCCGCGGTAGCATTGTACACAGGAACAGCGAGGGACACGAAGAACTGCGAAAGAAGCAGACAGCGGTTGAGCATACTGTCCTCGCTGCTATCGCCTCGCCCACGGACTTCCTTGCCAGCTTATGTTGGCTTCCGGAGCGCAGAAATTCGGTTTAAAAACCTGGGTTGTTCCTTTTGAAGCAATGGCCTTTGGGGCCATTGCTTTAATTGGATTGTGACATAAAACCCCCAATTTTTTATATCAGATGCTTTCCCGGCTAAGCAGAAACAGACATTGATTATACGGTTTCTCATGTAAGTACAGTCAGGCCAAATATTCTCCATTATCAATGGTTCTGAGGTTCACCTTTTATAACCAAACAGCGGCAGTTATTGTGGAAAACCTACCTTGGGGGGGGGGGGGGGGGGGACCTCAAGGTGATTGATGGCAGGTTACCTTAATAGTTTAGCAATTCATTAGAAACAGGTTGCTCATTTTGCTGTATGTGAGATTTTAATGCTGTATGATTAACAGGAGTGCCACAAGTTTACCCTTTACTGCCGTGCTTTTCTGGGTTACTTTTTTGTGACAACCTGGTAAGTCAAATGAAGAGCTGGATAGGAACATAACTGCAGTTTCAGAACATTTTTATTTATTTTTTTTTATTTATGACATACTGCGGACCTAAATGGTCCAAGCAGGAGTGAATACAGATCGTAAAATACACGACAAAAAACAGTCTTCAACAAAAGATATCAAAAAAGGCCACTAGGTTAAAATATACAGTAAATAACAAATGCAAAAATACAGGACAAGAAGCCTCCAAGAGCAAGATACACATTCCCAGTAAAAAACCTATACGGTCATGAAATAGGAAGAAGGAAGTGACTCAATGGGCAGGGAATTCCAGTCATTGATTGTTCTTGGAAAAAAGGAAAATTTGAAAAGATTGGTGCGAGCAAAGTACGGAGTCAGTGAATGAGGTTGGTGATGTCTGGTCTGTCTCGTAGCAATGGGTTTTAGATATGCATGGCGATTAATAGATAGCTTATCATTTGCAAGAAGAAACAGAAACTTTAGCCTTGCTATTTGCCTTCGCTCCTGCAACAATTCAATTTTGTTTATCTGCATTAGAGAGGAGGGAGAATCCGATCGCTTGAACTTATCGTAAATGAATCTGACTGCCCGTCTTTGAACCCTTTCCAATTTATTTATGTCTTTTTTGGTAAAGGGATCCCATACAACGCTGGCGTATTCCAGTTTAGGTCTCACAAGCGTGTTGAACGCTAACAATTTTACGTTAGGGGGTGTATTTTTCAACTTGTGTCTAATGAGGCCTAGCTTTCTAAAAGCAGCAGATGTAATGTTGTCGATGTGTCTTGACCAGCCCAAATGACTATCAATTGTCAGCCCTAGATACTTGTAATGGTCTACCTCAGAGACGTTATAATCTTTTATTTTGTACTGAAAAGAGAGGTACTTCTTTTTGTTTGTGATTCTAAGAAAGACAGTTTTCTCGAGATTCAATTTCATTTTCCATTGGTAGCACCAGTCTTGTATAGAGTTTAAGCTTGAGTTAAGTGCGAGTTGGTCATTAGTACACAAAACATCTTTGAACAATACACAATCGTCCGCAAATAAACGAATGTTCACTCCTGGGTCCACAACAGAAACAATATCATTGACGTATATCAAGAACAATAGTGGCCCAAGGACACTTCCCTGGGGTACACCGGAAGTCACATCAAGCATCTCTGAGCAACCAGAACCAACCTCGACATACTGTCTACGACCATGTAGATAGGATCCGATCCATTTAACGATGGCTGAGTCAAGACCAATACTTTCCAATTTAAAAAGCAGTTTACCATGTGGCACTCTGTCAAATGCCTTGCTGAAGTCTATGAATACGGCATCTATCTGACCAGATTTATCCAAAGTGGAGGCAAATTCGTGCACCGTGGTGACTAGCTGTGTCACTGTTGAATAGCCCTTTCGAAATCCATGTTGAAACTCGGTTATTAAGTTATTTTTATCAATGAAGTCAGTTACCATATTTGAAATTATATGTTCTAGTAACTTACACGATGTACACGTAAGCGAGATTGGCCTGTAGTTGCTCAGAGATAAGTGGTCTCCTTTTTTAAACACCGGCACAACACGTGCTAAGAGCCAATCATTCGGCAGAACTCCCGACAAAAATGACGTGCGGAATATCACTGTTAAGAAGTGTGCTAAGGGTTCCGCGAAACGACGCAGAAAGGCATTGGGTATCTTATCAGGCCCAGGTGACTTTTTCGTTTTCAAGTTCAATAACATGGAAAATACGCCTGCAAGCGATATGCAATCAGCATTCACGTAGGACCGCTCATGATTTTCACACTCGTACGTTTCAGCGTCAGAAAAAACTGACTGGAAGTATCCATTAAAATGACGAGCGATCACTACGGTGTCATCAATCACTGTACTGTCAACACATATTTGGTCGATGGGTTTTCTTTTGTTGCTTAGGTAGCTCCAAAACTTCTGAGGGTCGTTTTTAATAAAATTAGGCAGAGTATTAGAAAAATAATAATCACGAGACTGCTGAACGTGCCGTCCTAGCTCGTCCTGCATGTCCTGAAGGCGACCGTTGTTTCTACGTTTAGTTTTTTTAAGGCGTTTAATCCTTCGCTTTAAGTGAATTATTTTCCGATTCACCCAGGGGTGAGCCCTATTAACACGCTTTTTCTTACTGGGGACAAAGTTATCCAAACAGTAGTTGCAAATAACCTTAAATTTGTTCCATAAAACTTGCACGTCTGAGTCGTTAAAACTATCAAGTGCCAAATCCAGATAGTCCAGAATACACTCATCATTGGACTTCGAGAAGTCTTTAATTTTCTTAACTACACTTTTCCGTTCAGGTGACTCTTTCGCTAAAGTACAACAGAAATAAACAAGTTTATGATCCGAGATCCCCCTCTCGACACTGACCGTATAATCAGATAAGCATCTACTAACAAAAACGAGATCAAGGATAGAGCAGCTCGAGCCCTGCTCTCGCGTGTTTTCGGTTACAACCTGCTGTAGATCATAGGCAAACATAGTGTCAAGAACAATCTCACTGTCCTGACATGAGTTAGCGGACAAATTGGCCCAATCAAAACCCGGAAGGTTGAAGTCAACAACAACTGCAAGTTTATTGTTCCTGTATGAGGATATGTGGTTGTACAGTTGGTTTAGGAAGTCTGGTTGAGAATTGGGAGGTCTATAAACAGCGTACAAGATAATTGTGTTACCCCAGCAATTCAGCTTTAAACATAAGCTTTCATGCTCTTCAATCTGATCTAGAAGCACGGCATGAATATTATCTTTCAGTATTACAGCAACCCCCCCACCACGCGATGGGCGGTCTCTGCGGAATATGCTGTAGGATGGTGGAATGATACTATCATTATTAATGTCCTCGTGCAACCATGTTTCCGTTATTACCGTAATATGGGGATCATAATTCAATAAGAGAAGTTCCAGTTGGTTAACCTTGTTCACAATGCTCCGTGCATTTATGTTTAAAATGCGGAGTTGCTTTGATTCTGGAGTACATGGGCGTCATTCATTCGAACGTGGTTGTAATTGTGGCAGCTGAACGCGGGAGTTTGCGACGTCATCCCAGATATACCAGTCATCATTTATACGAAGCTTGTCATGTACCAAAAACACTTTTTTCCCTTGGTCCTTATCGGTCTTAGCGCTCAACCAAAGTGCCCGACGTTTTGCTAACGTGCTTGGTGAATAGTCGTTGCAAATGGATATCCGTGTATTTTTTAATTTTTTGGCATTGCGAAGTATTGCTTGTTTTTCGTTATAGTCCTGAAAGAACAAGATGACAGGCCTTTTGTCACTAGGTTTACCGAGCCTGTGAATCCTTGAAATGGAAGTGCAAGTTACACCTAGTATGCCATTCAGGACCAATGTGATCACTTTACTCTTAAGCTGTGCTTCCGTTTCATCTTCTGTTTCTGCTATCCCGTAAACGACTAGATTTGATCGACGGCTCCGATCCTCGAGATCTGTAATTTTCTGAGTTTGAAAAATAACAGTCCTTTCAAGATTTACGAGGCTACTTTCCAGCGCCTGAACTCGTTCCGTTTTCTGCCTGAGCTCGTGAAGAATTTGGTCAAATTCAACAAACCTGGCGTTAATTCCGCTTATCATGACTTCAGTTTTACTTTGTTGTGTTTTTAACTCTGTAATTTCTTTGTGGATTGCACTCTGTCCGTTCATTATTTGTTGAAACATCTCCACAGTCGTAGGGCCAGGATTGGTCTCGACATCACCGCAAACAAGTAATTTGCATGCATAGAAACAATCATACGCAATGTCAATACAAGTTTGTGGGCATGGCACAACAATGAGCATGAGAGTATTGCTCGCAAAAAGAGAGGTTTTGTGACCAACCTGTATAAAAAAGAGCGTTGTCTTAGTTGACATCGTGCTCTTGTCGCTTTCGCCGAGCCCACTGAAGATGAATTCCTGGGTTAGTCCTTTTGTAGGCGTTGAAGCACTTGACGTCACGAACCCAGAGGGCAGCACTTCTGCGACTGGCGATTGTAGAGACACTTGGTCATCGTTGGCGGCTTGCTTGTTGCTTCCACACGTGCTGTAGTCGATCGGTGCTCCAAGATAAGAACAGAGCAGGGCCTGTATAAAAAAGAGCGTTGTCTTAGTTGACATCGTGCTCTTGTCGCTTTCGCCGAGCCCACTGAAGATGAATTCCTGGGTTAGTCCTTTTGTAGGCGTTGAAGCACTTGACGTCACGAACCCAGAGGGCAGCACTTCTGCGACTGGCGATTGTAGAGACACTTGGTCATCGTTGGCGGCTTGCTTGTTGCTTCCACACGTGCTGTAGTCGATCGGTGCTCCAAGATAAGAACAGAGCAGGGCCTGTATAAAAAAGAGCGTTGTCTTAGTTGACATCGTGCTCTTGTCGCTTTCGCCGAGCCCACTCGGCGAAAGCGACAAGAGGCAAACAGCTAGTGACGTACTGTCTCTTGCTAACTGACATGTTTGTGTTTCTGTTGCTATTTGGCGGAATGCCATAAGGTGTGGTGTAGAAACATGCAAAATTTTATTAGCAAATTTTTGCGTACTTGACTGCACTTGATATTGACTCTGTCATGACACTATCTGAAGAAAACAGGAAAATGCTGGTCCTTAACTTAATTCACGCTGCTACC